AGTATATGACATACTCAGCAAGTCACGCAGCAAATATGCAAGTGCACAAGGATACCAAAGGATGGCATAGTAGGGTTTCATTTGCAAAAGCAGCATTTAGCAAACATTTCAGAATTTAATAAAACAGTTAAGTATTAAACAATATTAATCCAACGCTATACAACATACCCTGTTGTATAGGCCCAACCATTCTGAACAACCATCCCGGCTGCACAGTTCTATCTCCAAACCAGGAGCTAATCAAATTATTACCAATTAAAGCACCTTTTATTATGGTGAGAAGGGTGAGACTAATCACGAAAGATATTGTTAGACCCGCCCATAACCGCGGGCACGGCTATTCGAATAGTTTTACTCTGATCAGAGGTGTACCACTGTACCCACAAGACACAACCCCACATCATGTCACCATGTGCCTCAATACCACCACGGTACCTCGGAAAGGAGTTGTGACAATACCTCTCGTACAACACAATCCACTGCAGCGCACCTTTCCTGGATCATAATCACCCCCTTATAAACAAGGCATAGACTCCCCAGCGACCCCCGTGGGCTTATCTCCGCCACTTCTCAGTCTGGTGCCCCGCAATGAACCATGCTATACAAAAGATAAAGCCGTTGCCCATGCTGGCTTGTGGTTGGCACGGTTAATGTTTCACAACCGAAACTCGTGAACCAGTCCTTAATTGTCATGAGCACGACCATCAAAACCATGTGCTCACAACCCACCATTATCAGGTTTTAGTTGGCACATTAATTAATTAACCAATCATGATAGAACATCGTGAACTATCATTAAGCCATCATTAAGTAATAGTGAGTCATAAGTTATCCCAATAGTGTGCTAATATTTCTAAGCATGGCTAAGCAATCATATCTAATATCTAGCTGAACCAATATATATAAAGTTCAACTAGTCAAGTTATATTACCCCAAGGTATCAAGGAATAAAGTAATCAAGAACAAAAGGGCTATAACAAAGAATAGGTTAATTCCACCCAATGACATTCGAAAATAAATGCAATAATTGAATAGAAACAATAGCTTTAAATAGGATCAACATGCTCAAAGGGTTGTTTGGGATCTGTGTGACTTGCCTTGCTGGCCTTGGAACTCTTCAAATTCTTCTTCTGCAAAAACGGACTCTCCGGTAACGACGGAATCTAAGAAGAAAAGAGCAAAATCACCAAAACAGCACATAAACAAGCATGAACAGTACATGTGGATATTTTTAACATGTAGATCTCAATTTTAGAAAAATTTAGAGACTTGAACCAACTAAATCCGACTAAGATGAATTAGTTATGAATTTTTGAAGATTTAATCGGATTAAAACACTTATATTGATTTTAATTGAATTATGACGCAATAATGAATTATTTTTCAAAAGGAAAAGAGGATTTATTGCGTCAGCGGCTAGGGTTTCGGTGGACCGGGCGCATGGGCGACGGTTCACGCGAACGGACGGCCGAGATCGACTTGATCCAAAACGGACGGCCGGAAACGGAAAGGATCGATCGAATTTTGAAGGGAACGGCGGCGGCGCGAAACTAGGGTTTCGGGCGGCGGCGGCCGGAGGTTGACGACGACTGACAAGCGGGACCCACCTGTCAGCGACAGCGAGGGCGCGCGCGGGCTGCGGACTGGGCCGGACTGGGCCGAGGAGAGAGAGAAAGGTTTTGGGCCGACTTTCGGCCCAAAGCCAAAAGAGACTTTTTAAAACCTTTTTCAATTTAAATTATTTCTTAAATGCAATTCCATTTATTAAAAATACTTCCTTAGCTCAAATAAATCCCAGAAAAATCTAGGAATTATAGAATTAAGCAAAGTATTTAATGAAATTTTATCTGGCCCCATTTTATATTGGAATTTATTAATTAAAATTAGATCTTCTCTTCTAGGCTTTTAAAATAAATTCTAAAAATTCCATTTAAACAACAATTTATATATTTTGAATTTTCAGGGTGTGACACGGCAATGGCGGCGAGGCTGTGCCGGGCGGCGACGGCGCTAGGGAATGGTTTGGGGAGGTCCTAGGGAGCTCAAGGACGGTGGTGGCGCGAGGGATTGGCGAGGGGGCCCATGGCGGCGCACAGGCGGGCGCGGCGGCGGCGAAGCAGAGCAACGGCGGGGCGGCACGTTTAGGGGGACGAGCGAGCAACCGAACGGCTCGGGGCTTATCCAAGATGATGCAAATGGCAAGAATTTGGGCGAGGAGCTCACCGGCGTGCGGAAACGGTATCGGCGGCGCGGATGGAGTCGCGGCGAGGCGGACGCGACGGCGGGGCGGCACAGCGCCGAGAGGGCGTGGCCGGGGAAGAAGAGATGGAGAGGCGCGAGGATGGGGGCGGCGCGGAGCTCCTCATCGACTCCTCGTGCTCGCTAGCTCCCCGACACGCACGACGGCAGAGGAGGGCGAGAACGACGACGAACGGCGAGGCGGCAGTGGTGTGATGGAGGAGAGGAAGCGAGAGGTATGGGAGGGGGGTGTGGGTTTTATAGGTGGCGATGTCGGTTTGAGAGAACCAACCTTGGGGCGGTCAAGGAGATGAGGCGGGTGGTGCGAGCGGTCAAGCGGCGCAGAGGTGGTGACGCTGGCGGTGGTCGGGGAAAGGGAAAAAGAAGGGGGGAAAGGGGGTTGGTCCTTTGCCATATTGAGGAGAGGGGAAGCAGCTGCTTCTCCCATTCTTGGACGATGCGGCGTGGAGTGGCGGGGGCCATGGATGACGTCGGCGATGACGGCGGCAGTTAGTTTGTCATGGAGCGGGGGCAAGGCGGCAGCACGTGGCGTCGGCGGCGCAAGGGCTGATGGCGGCGGCGTTCGGCCGGTCGGCCACCTCGCGAGCGAGCGCGCGCGCGACGCGGGGGTGCGGCCGGATTTCGAACGGCGGCGGCGGGAAATCGGCGCCGAGGAGAGGGAGATCGAACGAGAGAGAGAGAAACAGCGAGAGAGAGGAAGAGAACGAGAGAGCGAGAGAACTCTCTCTCGGCTCGGCTCACGCGCATGCATCGCACGTGCGAGAGGAGGGAGGAGGACGGCAGAGGGAGGAAATGGGCTGGGGAGGGGCGTTCGGCCCATAGAACTTGGGGGAGGCAAACTAGACTTTCACAGAGAAAACTGATTTGGATAGAATTGGAGAGATTTAGGGTTTGGATTCGAATTCAAATTTGATATTCGAACTCGAGGGTTTAGGGATGTATCAAGGGAAACTCAAGGAGAAGTCATGGAAAAGATTCAAAAGGAATACTTGGGTATTTGTTCTCGGGAACATAGGGTGGAGTCAAGGAAATGATTTGGATGAGGATCGATTCTCTCGAAATCGGGAGAAAGATTTGGCAACGAGTTCAAGGAAGGGAGAGATTGACTTCAAGAATTGGGATTTGGATGAGAGGGAGTCGCCAACGGGATTCAAAAAAGGGGATTTGAATCTAAATTTGATACTTGTACACAAGGGTTCAAGGAGACGAGTAAGGAAACAAAGTGGGAGTTTGATACTTTCGGGAATGGGAACAATTATTTGGAGAGGATTCAAGGGAAGGGATTGACTTTCGGAATTTGATTTCGGAGACTCGAATCGGAAGAGGAATTTTCGAGGTGGAGGATTTTGATTTCAATGAGAGGGAACAACAGGATTAAATTGAGATCCTTGGCACAACTTAGACTCTCACACAAAGAACGAAAATTTTCGCGAATAGGATTTTGCCGAATTAGTTTTTAACGTCACGCAAAAAGCGGAGCGTTACATGCCCGCGTTCCGCGTGGGAGCCGCTAGGAGTCGCTCACCTAGGATTCGCGAGAGCACGCACACTGCCACCTCCACTGGCGAGTTTAAGTTTGAGAGAGAGAGAGAGAGTCGTGGGAGGGGAGGAGAAGGTGAGGAGAGGATAAGGACGAAAGGACTCGGTCGATCGACTCGGCTCAACAGTTTAGGGTGTCGTTTTATTTAAAAAATCGGCACCTATAAGGTTATTATATGTGTCGATTTTTATAAAAGAAAAACGGTACATGCGACTGACAATATTTGGGTGTCAGTTTTGTTTTTATTAAGAACCGGCGTTTTGTAGTAGTGATATGTCATCTCACCAACTAAACTCTAGATGAAAAAGTAGAAATTCTAAAACCCATTCTATTTCTCCACATAAGTATCTTAGGTACGTAATTGCTATCTTTTTCTAGTAGTATTTATATAGTCAAAACCAACCACATCAGTTAGGACAACCAATCCTATTAGAAATCCCTGACGCATTTATTCTAACTATTTCCTAATCTTCTTAATTTTGCACTCTCTCCAAATTTTGATTTATTAGCTAGGTCTCTCAATTCTACTGGCGTTCCCTCACACATTTATTCCAATTCATTCATCAATCTTCTCAAATTTAGACTACCTCTAAATTTGACCCCTTTCAATATACACATACAACATACATCATATCATACGTAAATCTGAATTTTATATGCACCGGTCCTTCTCTTAACTATCTGAACCTCATTCCTTTAGGGTTTAGTTTCGATCTTATCACCAACCATGCTCCTCAGACCCTCAAGCAACATTCAAAGCAAATACATGAAACTCGCACTGTCTTGTGCAGTTTGTTTCAAAAAGAAAAAAATTCAAAGAAAAAAAACATATTCAAAGCGAAAATTCATAGTCCTTTCCACGCCGGTCAAACCAAAGCTGCCATAGCACCTCGAAACACCAAACTATTGCTATTAACATTTTATCTAATTATCTGTTGCAATATAGTCATCACTGTGATTTCACACTTACTAGGTAGGTGGTCTGGTGGAATGATGCTGTTATACTGTCACCACTCATCGATGCATGAGTCAGGCGGTCACCATCACACACACTTACATTCGACGATCACAGGATTTGAGGACATCTCAACACTCAACAGTGTGATCGAACGCATTCAACAGGCCGTCCATTAAGCAATACAGTACATATCTCGTATTCTCATTATGTGGTTGTTTAAATCCACGTAGCCATCACGCATGAAGCTTACTGGTTACCCTCCATCAGACAAACATATATATTCGATCTTTCTCCGGTCAAGTTCTAGCACAACAAAACACAAGCCAAAACACCATTTAACCACCTCCAAGCTTCGCATTCCAAGAGACCGAGCGACTGTTCAGCCAGAGATTAATCAGAGAATGGCTGGAGAAGGAGATGATCAACTGAAGCTTCTCGGATTGTGGGTGAGCCCATACACTCACCGAGTGAAGCTTGCACTCAGCTTCAAGGGCCTGAGCTACGAGTACGTCGAGGAGGACCTCAGCAACAAGAGCGAGCTGCTTCTCAGCACCAACCCGGTGCACAAGAAGGTGCCCGTGCTCATCCACAACGGCAAGCCCATCTGCGAGTCGCAGGTCATCGTGCAGTACCTCGACGAGGAGTTCCCCAACTCCGGCGTCTCGCTCCTCCCATCTGACTCCTACGATCGCGCCATTGCTCGTTTCTGGGCTGCCTACATCAACGACAAGGTAATCGTCAAATTGCCTCGGTTAATCGATCTGAATTTGCATCGATTGATGTGATGTTGTGTGCGTGTGCTCGCGTGTGTCGTCGTTGCAGCTGATGCCGTCGTGGCTGCAGTCGTCGATGGGCAAGACGGAGGAGGAGAGGGCGGAGGCGCTGAAGCAGACGTTGGAGGCGGTGGCGAACCTGGAGACGGCGTTCAAGGAGTGTTCCAAGGGGAAGCCCTTCTTCGGCGGCGACACCGTCGGGTACCTGGACGTGTCGCTCGGCGCCATGATCGGATGGATGCGCGCCGGCGAGGCTCTGCACGGGAGGAGGACCTTCGATGCCACTAGAAGCCCTCTCCTGAACGCGTGGATGGAGCGCTTCGCCGCGCTGGACGCCGCCAAGGCCGCCATGCCGGACAACAACAAGCTGGTCGAGTTCGTCAGGGTGAGGCGGGCTGCCGCTGCGAACAACTGAAGCCGAAACAATACTGTATTGGTCAGTTCCCAGTTGGTACGAGATTTGCTCTGCTCCAACAAAGAGTATCTTAAGGTATTGATACCTCACGGTACCAAATCGTTTCTAACCGTTGAATCTAACAATGTCCATCGATGGGAAACGATTTAGTACTGTAAGGTACCGGTACCTCAATTACTTTTTGCTGAACCGAAACAAATCTCATCGTCACTGCTTTGGGCCTTTGGCCAATTGTCATTTTTCAAGTTGCAAAAGTGTGATGTTCTTCCGGGTCATCCGTTCGATCGGATCTCCTTGTTACCGGGACATCATTTCTTCCAATAAAGGAAAATGTTGAATTTTGGTATTTAAATTGTTTAGTAGTATGTGATATAAAAACTGAATTTTCTATTTCAATTGCGTGCCTAGACGTCAGATTGTTCAACCAGATGCATATGCTCCAGATGAATACATGTTATTTAAATAGTTGCATAAGAAATTGAACAAATATATTACAATGATATAGATCATTATATACGGACACATAATTAGCTAGGTTTTCTCTGGAGTGATTTTACATTTCTTGAGGAGGTAACGGGATATACAATATTTTCTAATATAAAATTTATTATCTCTTAGTACCTCCAGTAAGGAATGGAAATTTGCACAGTACTACCTCTCAAGGACCGTAAAATTTCTCTTTTCTCTAAGTGCATATCAAATTTAGCGTATATGACTCGTGTCATCATAATTTATCCTATAAAAATCTTTGATTTTTCTATCAACATTTAATCTGCATGGAAATAATTAATGTATATATGCATTACTACCTCTCCTTCGTAACTTCAGGAATGGATGGTATGTATGTCTCAATCTTTATTGGCCCCTGTATTTTAGTTGGTGATGAGAGTGTATGATGGCAAACTCATCGTCACCAACACCAACTGCCTCTTTTAAATAAAAAAATTGATGTAGCAGAGACTTTTTTTTCTCATTATCATATATTGTATATGATGTTTGGACAAATGATTTTAAGCCTGCAATGGCGAACTATATCATTTCTCACATGCCGTTTAAATAGTTATAATAAAATTGAAACAAAATAGGCAACATACGGATGTAAAATGCAGATGTTATTCTGAAAAAGAAAACATAAGGGGGGCAATAAAGAGTGATGCTAAGTGTTCTTTTGAATGGTAGTGTGCAGTTGTTATTTTTTCAACATGTATATGTTTTTGTACAATGGAGTTGCACATGTTTCATGGAAATTAAATGTGCATATTTGGAAATGTATGTTTTAATGGGAATGTGTTTACAATATTATTTGAATTTTTTTCATGGAAATGACCAGATGTATTTCATTGAAAATGCAAAAAAAAAAATCAATACAACATTGTTGCCACAATCAAATGTTCCATGCAACATTGTTTTTGTGGGTGAAAAATGGGCAATGTACATATGTTTTTCGTTTGAATGAAAATGTGCACATATGTGTCTTCTTTGTATGAAAATGCTTAAAATGGTAGCATTTCAAATAATTAATCAGATCAAACATTAGTGTCACCACGCCTTTTTTTTTCAGTTGTAAGTATGCACCATCCTCTTGCTAGGTGTGGTGGAATGATTAGGTCATGTAGGTAGGGTCCAGTAGGGGGCTCTCATGTATTCCACATCAGAAAAAAAAAACCCACCCCTACAATGGTTAGTTGACTTTACATTAATACATACTAGTTAAATTGTCACACCCCAATCTGATACCGCCGTACAACGGCACCTGACAGGAGCGTGTCGTAGGGAAAACGGCGCAAACCGCTTCCTACGAAACCGCGATCTCAGTACCAGTCCCAGGACATAGTGCTGGTACCCACGGTGACAAATATGAATCATAGCAATCCTTAAAATAAATGGAGGACTTATTTACCTTAACTTAGGTTGCAGCTCAGACAGCCCGAGAATACAACCGACGACGCGGACGAGGAAACACCAACAGCAGCAGCGGAACCAACGGTCTAACACCCAACACCACAGGCGACGGCTGGGAACCAGGACGAAACCCAAATCTTCACTTCACTTTATCTTCCCTTCAGGGTGGAGGAACTATATATATATATTTATATAGAGCAAGGGTAAGTACTTTCGTACTCAGCAAGTCACGGGAACTTAGGTGTTTAATGCAAGCTTGGAAGAGAGGCAAGGTTGTTTTGCAAATCTTTTGTTTGAAATCATTTTGAAATCACTAAGTGATTTATTTCTTTCTAAGTTTGGGCCGAAAAGAGACTTGCGTCTCGATTTGACTTTAAGAGATGTTTTTCAACGGCTCATTTGGTAATGTACCGACCTCCCGGGTCAGATCATTACTTCTCGGCTCCCAGAGCCATTCCACTTGATTAATCGGCTCCCAGAGCCTTTTTCATTTTCTCGGACTCCCAGAGTCCAGCTGCCCAGCAGCACAACAATCCGCTTCCACTCGGAAAGCCTAGTCTATGATGCCCGCAGACATCCCGAATCACACAGATTCGTTTCTGACCACTCAGGTCGTCCATCTGACACATAGGCTGATTCTGGTTACGATTCCCACACCACAACAACTTTTCACAAAGCACAGGCAAACAAATCTACGCAACGGGAACCACCTCACATCCGCCCATGACCGTGGGCACGGCTGTTCGAACAGTTAGTTAACCTCTGCAGAGGGGTACACTTTACCCACAAGATACGAACTTATTCCGAACACCCGTCGGTATCGGAGGTTCGCAACAAAGCCTTTCCCAAGCCGACCCAGGGATACCTCATGCCACATAGAAGGATCAAAACCTCACATAAACATAGGCCATTTTAGGCGTTCACAAATCAAACTCCAACCACCTTGATCGGTAAGTGAGCAAGCTTCTCGTCCTTGCCTTACCAGGAACCCGGTTTGTCCGACCCCGCCCCGGCGTTCCCAACTATTGGCATGCGAGGTTTCCCTGAACCGACTAGTTACTTAGCCAGGGTGTCCCATTCCACCTTGTGGTTGCACTTTGATTATGTTCGATGAGTTTCCCACAGGAATCGGTCCTTATATGCGAATACGGGACAGTGCCACATAGGCACAACCCCCGCATCGCGAGTTTTCACAATTCATTTTATTTTCAAACACATCGACACCACATGTCTGGTTTTGAAGGCTTCACAAACCCATTTCCCAAGTTTTCGACAAACAACGGTGTATGTGGGATATTTGGTATACGCGCTCAGAGAGCACGAATACCGAGGTACCACAAGGGTGGAGCGACAAGGAATCAGGGTAGTACGACCTACGGAAATTAGTGCGACTACTGGGTAAGTCCGTCGGTTTGGCACGCAAACCGAGGCCAAGCAAGTTAAGTGTGTGATTCTAATAATGCAAGTTGTAAACAAAATAATAATGACTTTTCAATTATAGGGGCAATTGATCAAAGGGTGACTTGCCTTGCTCAAGGTCTTCACGAAGCTTCACGAATCTTCGAGAAAACCCGCGATCGACGAAAATCCGATAACCGCAACTATACGCAAACAATCGAAAACCTAAACAAAAGACCAAAAGAAAGATCCTATTTAGACTAATTAGTAGTGCCATTAAATAGATCTCAATTTACGGAATTATTGGAAGTGGAACGGAGTCAATCGGAGTTGCGAATTGGGTGATATGAATTTTGAAAGTTTAATTGGAGTTTCTGGAATAGGAGAGATGATTTATGGAATTTATAGAAATAATATTCTCAAGAATATTATTGACAGTCATTGAATCCGGGACCAAGGAAAATGATTCATGGAATTTTGGAATAAGGAATTGATTTATGGAACAAGGGTGGAAAAGGAAATCAAGGAGGGATGTATACTAGACTTGTTTCGGTGGCATTGGTGCGGCCCAAAGGCTAACGCGGCTCGGCCGAACCAAATGGGCCGGCGCGGGCGCGAGGAGGCGGCCCATGAGGGCGCGCGGGGAGAGAGGGAGGCCCGTCGGGGTGGGCGCGGTCCACCGCGCGGGACCCACATGGCGGTGGTTGGGTTCACGGTGGGGAGGGTGCACGCGGAGGCGGGCGCTAGGGTTTCGGATGCGCGCGGTTCGGGCGCGGCGCGCCGGGTGGACGGATGGCGGCGGGCCCACGTGCAGCCGCACGGCTTGCCGTGGACCGCGCGCACGGGAGGGAAGACGGAGGGAAGAGGCTGACTGGGCGCGACTTGACCCAGTCAAGCGGGCCCGGGGCTGAAGTGGCTGCCACGTGGTCGACCACGCGGGCAGGGGCGAAAGGGGAGGAGGAGGAGGAGGAGGCGCCCGGGATCGGACGGCCGACGACGCGCGAGGCGTTCCGGCGAGCGGCGGCGAACCGGAGCGAGCGGCCACCGCCGGCAGCTAGAGGAGGTCAGGGGGAATCTGTTTAACGGCACGGATTTGAGAGGGGAGGTACGACGGTGGCTAGCGGCGGCGACCAAGCTCGCCGGCACGCCGACGTGGCCGCGCGCGAGAAGAGCTAAGGGTGCGCGGGCTCGGGCTTAGCCGAACCGGTATGGTGTTGCGACGCGCACGCGGTGACGCGGGACCTGATGGTCACCGGCGGCGCACGCACGGCGGCGTTAGGCGGCGGCGGAAGCGGCGACACGGCGCGGAGACAAAGGAGAAGGCCGACGGCCTTGGGGCAGCCAGGGGGAGGTCATGGGGATCCCCGGGAGCGTGGCGGCGAGAGGAATCGACGCGAGAGGAGCCGACGACGGTGGATTGCGGCGGCGGCAATCACCGGAGATCAAAAGGGGAAAACACGACGAGACGACGAGGGTTCGATTCAAAGGGGTGGGAGCATCTCCGGGGTTCAAGGAATCCGTTTCCGGCGTCGGATTGGACGGAGCGGCACCGAGATTGGCTGGCGACGAGAGGCGGCCTCCGGGACAGAGCAAGAGCGCGTGGCGAGCTATGGCGAGCGGCGGCGGGCGCGACGCATCGCGCGGCAGGAGGAGGATTATGGTGGGGAGCTCACCAATCGAAGAGGAGGCAGCGTTGGCGGCGCGGTCGGTGTCGCGGCGAGGTGTTCGCGACGCCAAGGCGGCACGGCACCGAGAGGGCGCGGCCGGGGAAGAAGGGAGGGAGAGGTGGTGCCCGGAGCTCCTCGTCACGCGTCTACGCACGCACCGGCTCCTCCGGTGCTTCGGCAACGGACGGCAACGGCGAGAGCGGGACGAGCAGCAACAAGGCGGCGACGGTGGTTCGGCGGCAATGGCGCGGTGGGTGTGAGGACTGAGGCGAGTGAAAACGAGAGAGGAAGGGGTTTGGGGTGGTTTGGTTTTATAGCGGAGGCGAGGTCGGTTTGGGGAGGGGAGAACTGACCTTGGCGGTCAAGTGCTCGGCTGGCGGTAGCGGCGGTTTCGTGGGCGGTGCGAAAGCGGCGACGGCGTGGATGCGT